CCCCCTCCTGTAGCTCTCCACTGCCTGCTTGTAGCTCACTGCCCACCCTCTTGCTGAGCCGTGATCCAGTTTTATGTGGTTGGTCATTACACTTCACGGAGTAACGACCATTTGCATATTGCATCTTTATTATATAGGATAAAGCTGTAAAGGGCCTGGGAACAATGGGGCTAAGTTCTAGAATGGAAGTATACTGCTTTACGTTTCTTATACTCTGTGTGAAATGGCATAGTATTACTTAAAGGTAAACAGAAATAATTAAAGATGGATACCAGAAGCCTGAGAGCATTTATTTTTTTATTATTAATTTCAGGGAGAGGAAGAGGGGAGATGGGGGGGGGGGAGGGAGAGAAAGGAAGAGAGACATAGATGTGAAACATCAAACAGTTGCCTCCTGCACCCTGACCAAGGATCGAACCCATAACCTGGGAATGTGCTCTGACTGGGAATGAGCCCGCCACCTTCTGGTGCACGGGCTAATGCTCCAACCAACTGAGCCACACTGGCCAGGGCTCCAATAGCACCTACTTAAAACAAAAACAGTTACTTAGTATGAGCTAACACAGGAGATAAAATGAATCATGAAAATTCTCAACCAATCCAAAAGCCAGCAAAAACAGAAAAAATAACAAAGAATTAATGGGACAAATAGAAACTAAAATATGATCCTGAAATTAAATCCAAATGTATTAATAATGATATTTAAAAATATTAATGGTCTAAACATCCTAATTGAAAGGCAGAGGTGGTCAGATTAGAAAAGGTGAGAAGAATCCAACTGTATGCTGCCTAGCACAGATGTATACACGTACATGCATGCACACATGCTATCATGCTTACACACACTTTAAATAGAAAGATACAAATACATTTCAAGTAAAAAAGAAATGGTAAGGGCCCACACCAGGTTAACACTAATCAAAAGAAAGTTTACATGGCTGTTACATTGATAACAACCAAATTAAATTTTACAGTAAAGATTATTAACAGGGATAAAAAGGATCATTTCATTATGATAAAGAAATCATTGATCAAGAAGTACATAGTAATCCTAAATGTTTACTAAGCTACTAACAATGCTTCAAAATTCTTGAAGCAAAAATATTAGACTACGTCCTAGCTGGTTTGGCTCAGTGGATAGAGTGTCGGCCTGTGAACTGAAGAGTCCCTGATTCAATTTCAATCAAGGGCACTTGCCCAGGTTGTGGGCGTGATCCCCAGTATGGGGCATTTGGAGGCAGCCAATCAATGATTCTCTCTCATCATGGATGTTTCTATGTCTCTCTCCTTCTCCCTTCCTCTCTGAAATAAAAAAATATATATATTTTGAAATGTTAGACTGCAAGGAGAAACAGAAAAACCCACAATTATAGTCAGAGATTCCAATACCCTACTCAAACAATAATTGATAGAACAAGTAGAACAATTAGATAAATCAGTAATGATATAAAAGATTTGAACAAAAATTTTGGTGTAACTGATATTTATAAAAAATCCTACTCAACAATAGCAGAATACACATTTTTAACACACCAACTTTACCAACATATACAATATTCTTGTTAATCACCCAATAATTGATGTATTTAAAGGGATTCAAATTAGACAAAGTATATTTTCTGGTGATAATAGGATTCAATTAGAAACCAAAAACAAAAAGCTATCTAGGAATTCCCAATATGTTTGACAAGACATTTTAAATGAATATGAAATACAGTATTAGCTGGGAAGCCATACTGCCCTAATTTATCAGTTCTATAAAGTATCAGCAGATTTGAACATAACTTCCAGAGTGTGCAGAATGCAATCATAAAAAAAATATTATTTGTAAAATAATAAAATAAAACTAAAAAACACACTTCTAAATAACCATGAGTCAAAGAAGAAATAAAAAGAGTAGAAGGTATTTTGATTGAATGATAAGGGAAATACATGTCAAAATTGATGATACTCAATGAAAGCAGTGGGTAGAGGAAAACAGACAGCACTAAATGCCTATAGAAGGAAAAAGATCTCAAACTGATGCCTTCAGTTTCCACTCAATAAATTAGAAAAGAATGCACCCAATGTAAGCAGAAGATTAAAAAATAACATGAATTCAACAGACAATCAGTGAGCCTTGGCTGTGTGGCTTCGGGGTTAGAGGGTTGACCTGTGCACCAAAAGGTCACAGATTC